TAATTAAAAAAATAACGTCCAGCGAGAGAGAAGGACTTCCCTCTCTCTTTTTCACTTGAATGTTATTTTTACAGAGAATGCCAACATTTATATGCATTGTACAGAGGTATCAGCATTTAATTCCCCAAATGTCCATATTGTGTTGAAATATATTGATTGAATCAGTTTCAATTGGGAGACAGTTTTTATTTTCATGGAATTATGGTCAGTATTTTGTCCATAAAACACCAACTAAAATTATATAATGTAAGTCTAATGGAAAAGGAGACTTGACTCAGGGAAATTTCAACTTAGGGACACTCTTGATGCACCAATTGTGTCTGCATCTTGGGGTCTCACTGTACTGTACTGGGGTGAAAGAAAATTAAAATACTCTACATCTACAGGACTGTATCTTTTCCTTTGTGGATAAAATCCCATTCTAATTTCTATACTTGGACATTTTAATCAGTTGAAAAAGTTTCCAAAATTGTGTCGGATCCTATTGAACATAATTAAGAAAGGATCAATGCTCCTACTTTAGAATACTGTTCATCAGAATGAAATAAAGTAAAGTGAGACTGCAACATACGGACGATTCAACTTTTAAAAAATATCAACCTCGACATCCGGACAATGTCTTGAGATGCAGACGCTTTGCCGAAATATCCAAAAAAATGTAAACAGTATTATTTTTTAAATCATGAAATCTTTTGAACAAATTGAGTATTTCTCTTTACAATAAAAATTTTCTCCCAATTGAAACAAAATTTCTCCAATGCATACGCAAACAAAACGTGCCTCTTTTTTTTCAGGGCTTTTTCTAGCATGTTTGCACATTATAGCTAGACTTATTGTTCTTGTTCTTTGCTTCTTGGAGTTCCTTCTGATGCCAAAAGATCAAATTCTTCTGCACAGTTATTTTCTACATCTCATATATAGTTGAGGAAAAATCAATGTCAAGTTTTGGGGACTGCATTCCTGATTTTTGATGAACAGACGAATCAATTAAATGTGCAGCTCCCCCTTCAAAGTCTTAAGGAAAACATGATAAAGCACACAGACGCATATAAGTGACAAGGTCCAAACACCAACTGCTGCGTCCTTATCTCGGGGCCTCCACATGCAGATGCTAAGAAAGGTCGTTTTTTTTTTTCTAAATGAAAAATTTAAATTTTCTTATTATTTGAATTAGACGCAGGCGACGAAGCGTGGTTGCGGAAGAAGACGAGGGATACTTCAGCGAAGTCCCCAGTCTGCGGTCAGCAGCAGAACACACCCTGGAGTCCCCAGCTGCTGGAGAGTCGGTGTTGAAACTGGGCCAGAATGGACTGCTGGAGGAGACGTTCGAGACGTGGCCCGTGTTGGACCTCATTGACGGCTATGGGATCACTGCTGTGCTCACGGACACGGGTTGCCAACGGAGGGTCCTGTGCGAGATTGCCCAGTTGGGCAGGATGCCCGAGGGCAACGCGGTGCAGCGCAGTCTGTGGGCCGCTGTGAACACGTGGGTGGTTTAATCCGGTTTTTGTCCCCCTTTTTTTTTTTTTGGTTGCTCTGATGCATGAACCAATATCCTAATTTACTGTGAAATATGTGTTGAAACAGGTGCTGTCCAATAAAAATTAAAAAATTAAATACTGTAAATGTGATTTTCGAGCATGAAGGGAAAAATTTGATTTTTAAATGTGATGTATATAAAATAGTAATTTTACTCCGTCCGAGAATTTTTTTCTTACTGAGCAAGTGTTACATTTAAAATGATAAATTCTTTGCTGTATTTTGGTGGAAAACTTGATGCTTTTGCGTCCTGCCCAAGGGTTATGACATGGATTAAGTTTTCGTGATTGATGAAGCATCAATAATCCTTGCACTTTCATTTTCTTTCGTTCAGGTTACCAAGATCATTGGCTGATTCCTACATGGACCGAACTTTGCTAGCCAAGATGTCAGAGGGCGAGTGCACATTCTTCCATTGCACCAAAAGAGTGGAATTTCCCAGTGGCACTGAAAAGCCTTGAGTCATTTAGTCCTGCTGCAAAACGAAAACCCTATTTTGGGGATCTCTGGGAGGGTGGCTCAGTTTTGTTTTCCAAGTTGTCTCATGTTCTGTTTTTTTTTTTTTTTTGGGGTACCCGCTCCATTAAGTGTGAACCAACCAAGACATTTTCGTAAGAAATCGAAGGAGGCTGTTGTCTGCAAGAGTCGCGGCAGATTTTCTCATTCAGACAAAATGATGCTATAGTGGTAAACGGAGCCATTTGTGTAGGAGAAATTCAAGTTACCAAAGATGAAAGGTTAAACAAATTGTGGTGCATGTTGATGCGGTGCATCAAAATTATGAGACATATTTTTATAATCCAGATTTGTTGTGGATCAGATACCATTTTATTTTGTATGTACTGAATGTTATTTCCTTGCCTAAATTCACTTCATGTGGTATCCAATGAACTGCTTCCATGAAAGAAGAAAAAATACAACGGGTCTCGTCAGGTGACAAAGGACATTTAATATCATTCACTTACGATCAAAAGGCTGTTGCCTTCTAAGATCAAAGGTAATGGATAATTTTTTTTACACATTGTTGCATACATTTGAGGTGTATGTGTGAGAGTTGTTCACAGGATGAATAAATAAATGATTTGTTCATTGCATGACCTTTTCAGGATAAGGTAACTGGGTATTAATTTTTTTGGGTGTAATGCTTCAAATGCTTTGTTTCTTCTTTAGTATAGTGAATCTTCAACTATTTACAGTACAGTATACTGATGCATGAACTCCCATAAGAATGGGAGGTAAAGAACCCAATTATAACAACTATAATTAATCAGTTATTTGAACCATTCCAAGTCGAATTAAAAGGGATTCTTGAAAATGTTGCTTTGTGAGTTTTTGATTTGGAGACCATGAGTTCTTGTGGGTAGATTAATCTGTGGAAATTATTTCTGATCAGATCACTGTATTAGAAATTATCATTATTCCTAGATTGTGCAGCAAAAAGTCTTATCAATTGTCCAGAGAATGAAGAAAATAATTAGCTTCTGTTTTCATTTTTGGAACAGGCTTTGTAGAATTTGTTTTCCGAAAGGCCATGCAAATTTTACTCGGGAGGATTGACCCAAAACGTTTCAAGTCACAGAGATTTTAATTGCATTGCAACTGAAGATAATTGGCCAGTAATCCATGAGTCAGGATGCTGACTCATGTATGGATATTCAAATCAGAAAGTTTTTCACTTTTTTCAAGGTTTGAATGTAATGCAGTCCAGCTTTGAAGTTATTTCAGTAATGTACTGCATATGTCACATTTTCTCTTTTGAATTTAACAATAAATTGATTTTTTTATTTCTTACTCCAAGTACAGATGAAGGGAAAAAACTGAGCATGACACCAGTGAAATTCAGCAGCGCATATAATTCCGGAATCACTTGGTCATAGTAGACCAGTAGAAATTCATGGTTTTAGGATAAGAACAGTATTACAGCAACCCTTTTGACAGAGTGTTTTGAAGCAAACATTCTGCCTTAACAGCACATTGCCAAAATGAGTTTTCTTGTGATTACAATTTATGTGGCAATGTCTCCAATTGCCTCAGAACTTAAAAAAAATTTAAATGTCAAAGAATTTTCACACACATTGTAGAATTTTTAAGTTTAAGGAGAGATTTTCAACCCTCCCTCCTGAAACCACCAGAAAAGTCTGAAGAAATTATAATATCTTACTACAGTAGAATTCCGTTACAACAAATCCTGTTATAACAAATTTTTCATTCTATGAAATTTGTTTACTGGCCCCGGCAGTTTCCCATAGGCATAATGTTATAAAAATCTCATTAAAACAAGGAAATTTTAGGCTTTAATCTCATTATAACAAATTTTTGTCCATCATTATTTAATACAATAGGGTTTGTTTAATATGCATGACAAAAAATCAAAGGTGCTGCATTCTAACTTTATCAAAAAGGAAAAATGTATGCCAAGAAATCTTCCTCTTCAAAATATACTAAACATTATGTATTTCTTAGAAATTGAGTAACTCCATTCCAGATTATATGCCTTTCTTCCCAAAATATACAGTATGTTTTAGAGAATGTTCCTCGATATTCAAGAACATGCATGAATGAAACAGTTCATTCAGAAGGAGGCATTCCTTTTACCTGTACTGTTCATAGTATATTTTGAAACAAATGTCACTTTTTAATCAAATGGCAGGTTCAGTAGAAGGAAAATACTATACAGCATTAATTTCAAGTTTTTTTTCATTTCATCAGGAATACTCAATATTTATGATATAATTATTCAATTGTTTTTTTTTTGAAGCACTTCAAAGTATTTATTGCCTCTTTCCTACAAAATTTCAGTCTAAAATGTGCTAGAAATTGTGAATCTCAATACAACAAAACTTTCGTTATAACAAATTTTTTATTAAGTCCCTGGAGTTTGTTGTAACAAGATTTTACTGTATCAGGTTTGACTTTTTCTGCAGAACCAGATCTTCTTCATCAACTACAGTGCAGAAAACTGAAAAAGTTACTGCTTCATTTGTACTACTGTATAATGCTATGAGCTACATTCTTGAATTGATTTACTTCACCAAGCAAGTTTTTTCCTTGAACAGACACTTAATAAGGTACCTAAACTGTGCAATGAAAGAAAAGAAAACATGATCACAAGAATAGTATCAAATTAATTTTTCATTCATCTCAAACATGCACACAGTAACAATAAGTGAGCCAAAAATTGCCAAGCCACCAGAAGCGCCGCACTACCTTTGCTGCGCCGCCAGCTTGAATCTTTGGCAATCCAGAAGGCTAGAAATCAAGCATGGACCGACGTGGAACGACGAAACGACGTGGTGGAAGTGTACGGTCTTCGAGGCGCGGCGGTCGTCGCGGCTAAGGCCGGTGAAACGTTGTGGTCCCAACGACCTCGGTACCCTTGACGTGTCAGTTGGATAGAGGGTGGGATAGATGGCAGCAGGAGAGAAAAATGGCCGCGCGCATGGAAACGATAGTGAGGTTTCCCACTGGATTGCTGAAGTATAATAGTACCCAGATCTGCTTCTAAAAACATGAGTAATACAGTATGTGATATGTTTGTGTGCGTGGTCAAATGATCAGCAATCGACTTCGCTGAATGTATCCAGACATGGCTCTGGACGGTGATTCTTTTTTCTTCACATCTGTTCTTCAATTGGCGAGAGCTCTTGCCAAAAGTCGTCCCACATCATGGTTGAAAGTAAGTTTCCGGAAATCTTTGAAAATGTATTCGTGATCCCAAAAATCCGTTTACTAGGTGAAACGAATGATGGACTGGTGTCCCGCCTTAGAACCTCTTGGTTCTGGAGCAGGCGGAAACGTTCTCATGACACAGCGTGGTCAAGATGCTGTGATCGGTCTGGGAGTTTACTTCTTGGAATCTGGATTTCAGCATAGAGACAGAATACTACCGTATCTTATCCACCTTCTTCAACTTTTGCCCAAAGCATCTTGGCCGCAAGAAATCCGGTACTATCCTTCTGACAGTGAGTTTTATTCGAAATCCCACAACTCCTTTGATCTGCCATGGACAACTTATGTGTTGATTACAGGAATCCCGGTTGCCGAAAGATTCAGCTTCTGTATGAACACGCTGCTTAGTGACATCGCTGCGCACTGCAATGATGAAGAAATTGCCGGATCCATTTTCGGCGCTCAAGTGGAGTTGTTGAATTCCTTGTACCTTGCCATAAAAACCACCAAAGAAACACCCGAGAGGCCGAAAGGATTCACTCATAAATGTACGTAACTTCGAATTTCTCGATTTTATTGAATTTGATCGTTGACGAGCTGTCCGGGCTCGTTCTCAGTGTCACTCTGCAAAGGAACTGTGCCGATTCTTCTGGGGCTATGTCGTGCAATGGGACGCTGTTTCCGGGGAGATCCGCCGTTATTCTGTCGACTTTTTCCTGCCCCAACGTCTTGTTCTTCAGCGTGTGTTGCGTCGGCGGGGTCGAGCGCTTCTTCGAGTGTAGCAATTGGACGAGAAGATCGACGGGACAGCGGTCGTCCTGTGGCACCTAGTGGATTTTCGCGGTTTCGGCCGATTGTTCCCCGCTCTCTAAGCCAGAATTTTCCACCTTCGGAGGACATTACTTCATCATTAACAGCGTGCGATTCTGGTGCGGATGTGAGGTAAGTTTTTGAATTGAGGATGTTGAAATAATGAGTGAGAGGGTTGATCGGGCTCTCAGTTTAATCTCAATTTCTTTTCAAGTGACCGTAGACCGGAATAATAATCCCAGTTTGCGTGGAAGAATGTTTCTCTTCCGAAGGCAGTGTGTTTTTCGCTGAAGTGTTGTGAAGGGGGTCTCAAATTGGGGTAAAGAGAGGTTTTCGAAGTCTTGACGAATTTTAAGAACATACTACAGTAGATATTGATGCCTCCACGTAATGGATCCTGACAGACCTAAGCTAAACTAACCTGATTTAGCCTTTCACCGCATACCGCTTTAACTTGAGATCGTCCATTAAATTCTCGGTGGGTGTTCCGTGAAATACGTATTTGTTATTGCAGAAGTTTTATTTTATGAAAAGTTGCGCGGAACCAAGAACAAGTATTTCATTTAAGATCTGATTCCGTGCGCTTTGTTGCTCTGTTCTGGAAGAAGATAGGTTGGGGAGATTAGGAAGAAGTCAATTTTATTTTGTCAAGGTCCTATTTCAGTCCGCTCGGGATATTGCAACTCTTGCTACTCGAAAAACGATGAGATCAAATTGGAATTCAATCCACCGTTTTGTGCTAATTTTCAGGTGTTTGGTTCTTCGAGGCTTATTCTGATGAAGCATATTGGTTGATCATTTTGTCTTTTATAATTGTCTTAATTACTTTATTTTTGAATTACAAACGTGCGAGCTAGTGAGTATTCACTCATTTTCCTCAGAATGTTGGGCCTAATTTATGGCAAAGAAATGGAGCATCCTGCATCGTTTGATGCAAAAACCTTCTTCTTTCATCGGTATGGGTCGAGTTTCATGTTACCTCAACCGGCTCTCGGAGTGATCGAAAAAGTGGACTTTTCATCACCTACTGTTCCTTTGCGGCATCTTCAGGTGCGAAATATCATATTTTTGCTCGGAAGTATGAGAATACTGAGCGAGTTTCCGTTTAATCTGCAGGCAATATTATCCATTGCCAAGCCGTTGTTGCAACCGGACATGCTTCAATTTCTCGACGATCAAGCCACGGACGTGTTCGTGTCGGAGCAAGTGAAGATATATCCGTACAAGACTTTTACGGAAATTCTGAACCTTGTTATCGTTTCTCTTCTTCGTGAATTACTGCAGCGACAAAAAGGTTCGTTGTAGATCGTCTTGGTGAATTGTCTTTATTCGGAAACGGAAGAAATCGTATATCCGATAGCTTCGAAGAATTGTCTCTTTTTTCGAACGAAAGAATCAGGGTACACGTTGCACTTGCAGACGAAATACCATTTTTTCTATTGGTACGAAAATTTTTCACTCATTGAATGATTGATGGCTCATTAAATCATTGGATGTCTCGCTACTAATGAAATTTTAAATACAGTGCAGTATAATCGTAAAAATTCGTGAGGTTAATTACGGTACATCCGAAAGAAATTGTAAGCTTGGTTTCATTTGCTGTTGGAGTTTGAAACGAATTGGAAGATGTCTTGTATTGTTCTGTAGAAAAATGTTCATGTTTTGGTCCACCATTGAAACAGCTGGGATCCCTCTGCAACGAAATTTAAGGGACCAGAAAACAAATTTTAGAGAACCCCTGTAAAATAGATAGAGAAACTTTTGGGTCAAGGAAAACTTCTTCATATTGTGCAGAGAACATAGTTGTAGACGAAAGCGTTGTAGAAAGATTCCACCAGTATTCCTTTCTGCCACGAGTCGTATTCATATGCAGTATAATTTCCTGCCATATTTGTAAATAAGTAGAGTACAGTTCCTCTCCAAATCGCCAGCATAGTTTTATTTGGCTTGATCAATTCAGAAAATAATTCATGGCGTCTTACCCCGATGTACGTTCGCTTTTTTCTTGAGCAATTTGTTTGTTGGATGTTCAATTCAAGATTCTTCTGCTCCTCTCTTGTTAATTATTATTCATGTAATCTTTTATCGCTGTATTTCAGATTTACCTCAGGCGTTCACGGTGGATGTGCAAAAGTTCGTCAAGGGATTATTTTTGACCGGTCAAACCGAGCTGCAGGGAAAGAATGCACAAGCGACGAATCACGAAAATGATGCCAGCGATGCTGATTTGGACACTCATTCAAGCGGCATCAGCAATGCGTTCAAAGCCGATAGAAGTCGAAGCGCTCTTAGTTCACCTCCTCAGGCCCTACACAGATTTCGCGTCAGTGTGCAAGCCAATGCTGCCTGTGTGGATCTCTTGGTGTGGGCGATTCGGGACGAAAACGGTGATTATGTATTTCTTATCAAAATTTGTAGCTTTCGGCTCCTGTCGCTCTTCTTTTCCCGGGAAATCGGGCGTTGATTGAGTTTAAATCATTTTTCTTGTTGAAAGGCAGATGATTCTAAAATTTTATTGTGGCTGGCATCAAATTTCGTGAACTACGTCTTGTATCCGTGGGCTGGGGCTCAAGGGAGTACAGGTAAAAGTTGAGTTATGTGCGTGTGGCATGGAAGAGCTGGACATGGCTGATGAATAGTAACTCTCCTCTTGGCTGCTTGATTGCAGTGAACTAATACGCTAACCGAGAGAATGCAGAGTGTTCCCCTTAATCGTTCTCGTGAGGGATCTTTTTTGCTGATTGTGTGTTTGTCTCCGAAGGTGCGGACAGTTTATGCAGTCGCTTGACGGAAAAATTGAACCTCAGTCTCGGACACAAACTCGTTCTTGCTCACATGCCGCTGTTAATGGTTTGTCTGGAGGTACCTTAATTTTACTCTTTTACAGTAATTTTTTCCGAGTTAGTGGCTAAAGTTGAAATTTACTGGATTGAGAGTTATTGGCATTGCTGCGATATTTTTTGCATTCATGGATATGTCTGTTCAATCTTTTCCGTGGATGTTACGTCATGTTATCAAAAAGGGTTTCAATGTTTTCAGTGACATAATGCGATGAATTTTCTGATGTAATCAATTTGAACTGTTTCCAGTTCGGTATATTTTCAATGGGTATTCAGAGTTCATAATTGGTAAATCGACGTGTGGGATTAAAGAGCACAATATTTTCAAATCTGTAATATGTTTCGAAAAAGTGTGGGAAGAAGAATTGCATTTCTGAAGGACTTGTTGAACGTGTTTTTTATCTGCGCGAATAAATCGGAAATTCCTCATTTCAGATTCCACACCATTCCTTCAAAATTTCCGAGGAAAATCAAATCTTTATTGATGAGAAGGGGTTCACGAGTTTCAGTATAAAATTGCATTTCTGCAGGAAGACCTTTTATGTACTCCTAGCTATTTTCAGGGTCCAGTATTTCGATTCGTTGAGAAATTGTACTTCATTTCTTTCAGGGTTTGGGGAAATTGGCGATGAAATTCCCAGGCATTGCGTCAACGAGTATAAATTGCCTGACGAACTTCCTCGTTCTACCGTCGCCAGTGCTGTTACGCTTGCAAAGGCAAAGTAAGAACAATATCACCAACTCTGGTTTTCCCTTGCCTCGAGCCAAAGCAGCTTTTCGAGCTGTTACACTCGGTAAAATTATATAACTTGCAATGAAAGCTCAGTTCATGTGACCTGTGTTCTTTTTCTTCCTCAGGTGAACAATTTGGCTCTCTGGAAAGAAACATGGGATTAGAAACTTATGGATCTGCAAGCACTGCGTTTGAGCGACTTAGAGATGCAGCGATTGAGAATTTATGTTTGGCGCTGAAAGCAGGACTGAGAGTGAATCCGGATCAAGTGCAAGCGTTTGTAGCGTCTGTAGCGAATCGGCTTTTCACCGCGGAAACTTCAGACAGGCACGATATTAGAATATTCTTTTTCAATAAAAAAATTGAAGATTCCTACGATAAACTTGGTGTAATGAAAACTTTAACTCTTACGGTGACGTTCAAATATTCGAATTATACTCTTATTCAAGATAATGGAACGTTCGTGTGAAATACTGTTGTGGTTTGAATTCATTGAAAAGCTCGTGTATTCTATATCTTTCTCCGGAATTTTTCAGTGAATCAAGCCTGATTTCAAGAAACACAGTTTTGGCGCTCGGACATGTGGCTGTTGCACTGAAATCCACTCCGAGAACAACAGAGTCAATTCTTCAATTTTTCAGACAGCGATTCTGTCATCCTCCGTCTGCTCTTGACGTACTCATAGTTGACCAACTTGGTTGCTTAATTATTGCCAAAACGGAGGTATTTTTATAAAATTTTCCGTAATATGAATTTATTTCACATCCTTTTCTTTACAGGGTAAAGTTTATGAAGAAGTTATGCAGATGTTCATGCAAATTGCTGTGGATTCATGCTCGGGTGCTTACGGTGGTGAAGATAGGAAACTTCAGTATCGGTTAGTCTCGAATATTTGAGGTTTTCAGTTACATTTTTTTTAGCAGTAATTGCTGATTTGCATGCAGGTGTTCTGCTGTGTTTCGCATTCTATTTAATGTTCAAAATTTTCAAAACCTTCATTACTTCATGAACCGGAAATTCCTGATTTTGGTGAACTTTTCTTATTGTGATATATTTTTCAGGCACGTTTCATTGGCGGTGAATAATGCGCTGGCAAATATATCTGCAAGTCTTCAAGGAGAATTTGAGATGATGGACCTTTTGGTTCGCTTGATGGAGTTGTTCGTGCAGCTTGGCTTAGAAGCGAAGCGAATGTCTGAGAAAACGAATACACCCTTGAAAGTAAGTCTATCTTGATGGAAATGTTTGTTGTATAATACTGCATTCCATTGAACTTCTGCTTGCAGGCCTCTAGTAGTGCGGGAAATCTTGGCGTATTACTTCCGGTTATTGCTATTTTGGTAAGGAGATTGTCTCCGATCCGGAATCCCAAAGCAAGACTACACAAACTGTTCCGAGATTTTTGGCTATACTGTATCATTATGGGCTTCACGAACGAGAGTAAGTTGATGGTAATTTTTGCGAATTTCAACCCTTTTATTTAAGAAATTGATCGACAGGTCAGTGGCCTGCGGAATGGTATCAAGCTGTGAAGGATATTGGTGTCAAGTCACCGTTTCTGACTTCCTTATCTAGTCAACGTTCAGAGATCCGAGAGCTTCAGTATACATTTGTGTTGCGACAGGAAAGCATTTCACCGGTGAATTTTGAAATGCATATCACGTCATTTTTAACATGAAAACATCGTATGTTTTTTTAACAAAAAACAATGAATGCTTTTCAGGCCGAGCTGCAGGACTTGCGAAACCAGTTGCTGTCATTGTTAAACAGTCCCGCCGAAGTTGTTCAGATTTCAAATCGTTTGACTTTCGCTCAGTGCACCTATTTATTATCAATCTTGCGTCTCGAAACAATCAGGTTTGTGATGGTAATAGAAGTCCAATTGACGACAATGATCATTTGTATCCCGAATGACAGAGTGGAAAGTTCTGAAGATACGAGCTTCCATCCCATGCTGGAGTATTTGAACGATATTGCGATTCAGAAGGATAAGACGGGGTTGTGGCAGTGCGTTTATTGGTGAATATATTATTCATTCGATTTCTTTAAATAATTTTGCTCATGCTAATCTCTCCGTCGTCAACAGTGTAAGCGAAACGGTGTTCGGCACGTTCCTGGAAGTAATGTCGAAGAAACCCAAGGACGAAAATCGAGACCGCGATTTGGAAGCTCACGCCCAATTCTTGTTGGTGCACTTCAATCATACGAATAAGAATATCCGGCGAGTTGCTGATCGCTTCCTTGCAAAACTCGTCGATAAGTGAGTAATCGTGAAGATGCTTTCGAGAAACTCAGTGCTCCGAAGGTTCCGGATCTATTGCTATTGAATTATGCAAGAAAGTACACAAACGGTAAAAGAGGCTGCGTGTTCAATTTAATGAAGGAAGCTTTCAAAATTCTTCCGATTTCCAAGTTGGAATGTAAGATTTGTCTTCATTTCCAGATTTCCTCATTTGTTGTGGTCTCGTCGAGTGCTGCACACGATGCTTGACATCTTGCAAGTTTTAAGCCAGTCGCTGAGTTTGGATGCTAACGAAGAAAACCCAACACTTGCTTTACCTTCCACTCCGTATATCTTGGTCTTGATGGACACGTTGGAAGCTCGAGAGGTTTGTGATTCGAATTATATTCTTTCCGTGTTGACTTGTGTTAATCCAAATTTTGAATGTTTGAAAACGTTTTAATGCATCCCTCACGGAATCAGGCTAAAGAGGTATGAACTTCATCCGATTCTGTTGTTGTCGTTTGGAAAGGCTCTTTCTTTTTGAACGTCTGAATAATTTTCTTCAATCTTTATTCAGAGCATTGTTAAAGATTTTGCCGCCCGGTGCCAAGAAATCATAGCTGAAGCAATGCGGTGGGCGCCTGGAGTAACCCGGTCTCATTTGTTGGTGAGATTTTTTTTTCATCCAGTATATCTACATTTTTTATTTGTCATAGCGCAGTCGATTTTTGTTTTCTTCAGAGGTTAAAAAGTCATCTATTTTTTTTAAACGGGATTTTGATACGTTCAGCTTCGCTCTCTCCGAGCTTTGGATGAACAATTTGTATCTTCTTGTTGAATTAATTCAAGATACTGAACCTTTTGTCGACTGTATTTATTTTATTTTTTGATTCTTCATCGGCATTGCGGACATATTTTTCCTCGCAGGAATATATTTGTCCCTCGAGAGAGGATGCATTAGCTTCAGTGGAACGCCGAGGTTCTGTACTCCGTGTCGTTGGGGGCAGGTCATCGCCTGTTGATCTGCAGCAAAAGAATCCTCCGCTGCCTGCCCATGCTGGTGTTGCCCTTGCAACAGAGAGCATCATGCATTATGCTGGACTGAATTCTGCTTCTGAACCATTAGCGGTAAGTCCTGGTTTTCCGGAAAATTTTATTACTTAGGAACTGTGATGATTTGGCCAAGCTCTTGTTTACAAAGAAGAATCTGATGAGAATACATGCGTGAAACTTGAAATGGTTAGCTGTCAAATTAAAATACGAGTTTCACTTCCGATGACATACTAAAATTACTCTTTCTCGTCATGGGCGAAGTTAGAGGTTCATTATATGAACTACGTATCCCTGATGCATAATACTCTCTTCAGCACTGGATATGAAACTTTAAGAATTGCGAATTGTTTCGCGTGTACATGATATATATTTTTTAAATCGTAGAAGTGAAGGATTTCCCAGTTCGACCTTTTTTTCTTCTTGCGTGCATATGTTCAACAAATTGTTTTCCGACTCAGTTATATGCACGTGGTAACTCGCTTGATATTTTAGTTGATTCATTTGTATGGCTGCGAGAATCTTCCTCTCATGATCGGACTGTATTTTTTTATTTACGAAGGCGTCGGCTTTGGAGAAAAGGCCAGGTTGTGTGAAGAACAACACATCTCTGTTCATGACGAGCATGTCATTGCGAACTCGTTACGTTGGAGAAGTTCGTGGTATGCTTTTGTCTATATCGAAGACTGGAGGCAGCGAAGATTTTTTGATACATCGGCTGATGGAAGATCTGAAGGCATCTGCTTCGGCAAAAGATGACACGAAGCACCAGGATGCCCTTTGGCGCGCTACATCGATGTTCATCTCGTCCGAAAGTATGTCATGTTCTCTCTGGTAACAAATCGTTTCCTGTTCTTGAAATTTGAGTTATTGAAATACTACAGTTCATGAGGTTTGATTGATGTTTAGAGGTGCATCGGAATTTGCTGCGATGCATGAGCAGTTCGTTGGTGGAATATTTCAACGAGAGCTCAATGGAGTGCGCGGTTGCTTGCTGGCAGTGGGTTCTTTCCGCCCGGCCTGATTTAGAAATGATTCTGATTCAGGAAATCGTCGCTGCGTGGAATGTAAGTTCTGTCTTAGCTTACTAAGTACAGTACTTCTCTATTTTCTTGCGTGTAAGGACTCGTTTTCGAAACAAATTGTATCTGTTTTATCGGAAAAATGATGAAATCGCTTTCTCGTACGGAAAAATAAAATCGAGTTTTTTGAATTTCCTCGACCTCTCTTGTGACTTTTCTCTGGTTATTGCCTAATCCCTAGGGGAAAACGATTAAATCGTTGGAAGGGTAGTGATTCAGGATGCGTTGTCAATGAAATCTTCAATTATGCTTCTGCAAACGAATTAAGAAGCTCTCAAGTGCACTGTAGTATATTGTGTGTTCATTTTTTTTTATTAATATTGTGGGCCAGAAAATGTTGAGGATGATCTCATGTACATTGAAAACACTTCGAAGTTGAACTTCTGCTTGAATAGAAAATCTCCGGTTTTCAGCGTATGTATTTTTAGTGAAATGTGACATAAAAATTTGTTTCAGTCTTTCATTTACCAGCATTTATTTGAATAAGTATCGTGTCCGAAACGTAAGCGCAAGTGCCTTACGTTTCGGACACGATAAAAAAGTCTCATGAGACCTCATAATTTTTGGAAGTACTGTACACTGAAGTCGTTAGTGGTTCTTTCCTTCCGTACTTGATGTGTGTGTCGTCACTATAAAAATTGATAATTTCGAATGCTTCAAGTGCAATTTTCGGATTTTATCGCAACAGGCGACGATTAATCGTGGGCTAGGAATATTTGCACCACCTTCGAATGAGCCGAACCCAATGGCTGCTCGAGAAGGCGTTGAACTCAAGCCGAACCCGCCATTCGTTGCTGCGCACCGGGTTTGGGTGAAGTTTTTATGCGAGCGAATAGAAATGATCAAGTACTACAGTCAAGAGCAAGTGGACATTTTTGCGATGATGTTGCATCGCACGTTGGCCGCATATGAGCCAGGAAGATGTCACCTGGTTAATCGACACATCGCATCAGTTGGTCCGAGGTTCTCGTAAGTGCTTTTTTCAATCATTTTTGCGTTTTTTTTCTTCCTGAAATTAATTATGTAATGATATAAGATAGCTGGAATATTTTTGCATAAATACTTGAAAGCAACGTATTCCTCGTGATTCTACTTTACACGTCTGTTCCTTTCGGCTATAATCAGCAGATGCGTCCTTTCGCCCAAAAGGGGAAGCAAACTTTGAAGAAAGAATTGTGTTGTGTTGTGCTCAAAAGCTGGATGTTACGAATTCGTTGAAAAGTATTTTCGGTTCATGTGACGCTCGAAGTTCTGTGTTGGTGAACCATGAAATCTGTTACGTTTCTTGGGTTCGTCCTTTGGTTGGTTGTTCTTGTTAGCTTACCCTCGGCGTGTTGAGTGATTCACGCGACACCTGCCTCAGATTACAGAAATGAAGGTCGTGCGTTGAACTGAAGGAAACCTAAAATGTGTACGGTATACACTATACAGTATGGTGGGGTACTAATCTTGTTTAATGTACAGTACAGTACTGTAATTTGTTGACTGTGGTGCGACTTCAGGAATGTTCTTTCCGCAGACCGATCAAGTAGAAATTACGTGATAGTAATTAAAATTTACAATTATAATTACTCTACTTGGATAATTGTATACAGTACTTTTAACGGTAGACGTGAGAATTTTTTTCCTTTACAGTACCTCCCTGAGGAAGCCTCAGATACTATCACATGACGATGGTCAATTTGTTCTACTATAGGTTGCTGTACGCCGGTCTTTCGTTGTTGCAAGGCGATGCCTTGCCGAGGTCAATTTTGAAGAACGCACTTCGACAGCGAATTTATTACGCGTGCCTCGACTATTTCGCCACTCATCCACAAATTCCCGTTCCTGAACAAAAGAGTCCAAGGTTACGAGAAGACATCCTCACTTTAGTCAAGTTTTGGCAGAGCATCCACACGGAGAGAAAGTACCTCAAGACACCTCTAGTAGCCGGCAAGTTGTTCGTTGTGTCTTATTTAATATTACAGTGCGATACTACAGGTGGACTCTATAACGATGTTCAAGGGACACGAAAAAAAATTCGTTGTGGAGAGAATTCCCTTGTAGTCTGGGGAGAAAATCCTATGGAACCAACAGAAAAATAATTCGTTACACTATACTGTACAGAGAAAAATCTTCGTGAAGAGAGTCCATATGTATGATTATGTCCTGTGAGATATTTTTTTTAAGTCGAAAGTTTTTCTTCAGATGTTGTCGAATGGTTGGGAATTCCCGGAAACACTTTGACTACGAATCAACCCTTGGGTATCCCGTCATCCGCCTCCAGAGCCGGAAGCATAGCGCTTGCCCCCGGCACAATCGGTCCTCTTTTGACCACGGGTCAAGCTCAGTTATCGTTGCCGAGAACGGCATCAGCCATAGACTTTCACGGAGGAGGAGGAAATCTTCGAACCAGTGGATCATCGTCGGGCTGGATCAACACGTTGCCGCAATCGTCGACCAATTCTCTGTCTAGACGGTCGGTGGGCGCGAAGAACGTTGCTGCGCCTCCGGGTGCAGGACTCAATGTGTGGGGCTCGAAGAAGCAAGTTACGGCGGATAATTACGTGAAGGAATTTTCGAAAAAGCGTTTGCTCATCCTTGCTTTGGTGGTAAGTTTGTTCAGACGCTTTTTCTTTTTTCAAATGATCCACTGTCGTTTGTGTACTTATGAATAATTGAATCTTCATTTATGTTACGCGATTTCTGGGAGGTTGAAAATTTTAATTAAATTAAGTCGATGAAGCGGTTGATGTCGTTCTAAAGAGATTGTTCGATATGAAAGCAATTTTATGTTGAAGTTTAAATGTTGTTGAAACGGATATTTCACGGCACAGAGGAGAAAGTCACAAAGAAAAACGAGCGCGATGCATCAAATGCACAGATGAGCAATTATTCAAAAAATGGAAACAATATCTTCCCCTCAAAATAATGACAACACCAACTCGGAGGACACGTTTTACGGGCCTTTCGTTCGAATTTGACTTTTTGTGCTTCCCTGCTTGTTCTTCCTTGAGATGGCCCTAATTCTGAACTGTTGCTATGTTCCTTGGCAAATTTACGAATACAGTACTGTACAGTAGTTCCTTTTTTTCCGAAGGATTACAGAGTTACAGACAGATGTCGCTTTGAAGACCGTGAAAAGTATCTGAGGCGAATTTACGAGGATTTTTGCTTCTAAATTTTCCTTGAAGATTTCTTCGGATTTATCTTGGCCTTCGAAGTCAATTCTCTTTTTTGCACGCGCTCTTCGGATACTGGCAATTTCGTACTCGTTTTATTCATAGACGTTCCCATTTGACTGAGTGTCCGTTCTAGTGTAACTCCCCTCATGTTTACTATTCCAATAATTGCCTTTTTTGAGTTTAATCTCCGGTTCTTATTTTTTAACGATTGCATCCCTGATATACCCAATATTATCTACGCGGAATGATTTCGATTGATTTTCTTTCCAGGCTGCGGAGATTGATCGGCTGATTACGTGGCATAATCCTCTTGTTCTGCCTGAGCTGTTCATACCGGATCAGGACAAAGTTCTGAACTGGAGGAACACCACGGTGCAGGATAAAATATGGAAGGATCTCATCAAGGTTGCTTGGGATGTGAACCCCGCCCTGGCTGTTCATTTGGCATCCCGTTTCCGAACCCATTCGGAGTTGATTGAGAAGGAGGTCACGCGCTTTGTGAGAATGAGTCCGATGGCGGTAGCGCATATTCCTGATGCCCTTAGCTACCTGGTCAACTCGGACTCCATTTTGAACGAATCTCAAGAGGTACGTTGGATCCATTTTCACATTGTGCTTTTGCGCGTGAACTGGCAGTTGTGAGTGTTCCAAAATAGTACGTACTTAAAAGAAAGAAAGTTTCGAACCGCTTTTGAGCAGAATAGGTTCCCAAAATTTTCTGCCATTCCAGGAAGCCGTTTCAGGGGTTAGCTACCCGAAAATGTATGCAGTCAACCCTCAATTTAGAGCCACCCTTGCACAGTGCCACGAATTTCCCTAGAGCAAATATCCCTCCATTATGCTCAAAAGGGGAACTCTGATTTAGTGCCAACTCACTCAGTGCCTCAAAAATGCCTTGTCTTGTTTAAAAAATGGGCCAAAACCGAAGGAATCAATTCATTTTTTCTAGGGATATCATTGATTCATTACTGGGAACTATATGCCCAAACTCACAGAAACTCAAAACAATTTTGAATACTGTATTCGATTTATCATCTTACATTGTTGAAAATATTTTTTGTTTTTACATGAGACCGTACTATTTTATTGAAAAAGTGGGGGCTTTCTTGAAGAACATTGATGATTCCTGCATGACTGCACCTGATATAAAACTGAAACTCGAACTAAACTTCAGGAAACAGCTCTGCTCTTTCCCTTGACACAATATGTGTAAAAATCAAATATACTGTATACTCTAACTATACTGTTACTAAATATACCGAAATACTGTACAGTGTAAAATATTCCATTCGACCTTCAAATTATTTCTCAAGGATTTCTTCTTTATACAAAAGACTCAGTGTCCAAACAATTTTGTAACCAGGCTTATTTTGCCTGCCCTCAAGTCAACTTCCTTCTTTAACAATACCCTCAATTTAGTGCCACCCTCACTTTATGATGGGGGGTTGACCGTATATTACTTCACCTATACAGTACAGTACTTCTACGAGGAATGAAATGTTCTGCTCTCTAAACTTCTAAAGCTCTGTTTTGGGTCACGTAAATATTCCCGACGCTGGTTTTGCGTGCATGAAATTCCTCAAATTTTGTATGACACGGTATTGTCCATGTCTTGTTTCAGTTGTGCCAGATGCTGACGTGGTCTTCAATACCTCCAGTCAGAGCTTTGGCGTATTTCTCTCGTCAGTATCCACCTCATCCCATTACTGCTCAGTTTGCCGTTCGGGTTCTTCTTGCTCAGCCCCCTGACGTGCTTTTATTGTACATACCGCAAATCGTACAAGCCGTGCGTTACGACACCATGGGATACATGACGGAGTTCATCAAAAAGGCGGCCAGCAAGAGTCAGCTCTTGCTGCATCAGCTCATCTGGAATATGAAGACGAATATGTATGTGGATGAAGATGGCAAGAACAAGGATCCCGATTTGTACGAGCTGATCGAGGCGTTGATGAAGACGATGATTGATTCGTTGTCGGGTAAAGCGCAGGAGTTCTACAGAAGAGAGTTCGATTTCTTCGGGCGAGTGACTGCGATTTCCGGCGACATTAGACCTTATCCCAAAGGGCCGCAAAGGAAACAAGCTTGTCTGGATGCCTTGAGCAGGATTAAAGTTGAGCCGGGATGCTATTTGCCGTCTAATCCGGAGGCTGTAGTGATCGACATTGATTATCAGTCCGGAACACCGATGCAGAGCGCTGCAAAGGCACCGTTTCTGGCAAGGTTTAAGGTCCGGCGATGTGGAATTGCGGAGTTGGAGATTGAGGGTTTACGAGGAGGCGAAGTTGATCCTGACGAAGATAAAGAGCTGAAGGCGAAGCAGGAAGCCTGGCAAGCTGCGATTTTTAAGGTATGTGTGAATTTTTTTTTTCTGTATTCAGGATTCTCGGAAACATGAATTCTCGTTATTTTTATTTGGTTCGCTGTAATTCGTTGTGATCGCGACCGCATGTAAGCACAGGTGGACTCTCTACAACGAAATTCAAGGGGCTAGGAAAATTCGTTTTGCAGAATTCCGTTGTTAGGAACCCCTATAAAATGGGGAGAGAACCCCCTGCCCTATGGGACGGAAAAAAAAGCGTTATACAGTACAGAGAAAAATCTTTCTGGACAAGATCATTGCAGAGGTGCCCGCCTGTAAGGTTTTACAGTATTTTCCGAGTGACAAGAAATAAAAGGGGGCCGGTTTTTATTTTGTGGGAGATTCTTAACGTTATGAGTTCAGGAAAATGTCAAAGGTCCAACGATTGTGTCCTAATTCGTATTTTCTTGCCTTTTATTTGCATTGATATGATCAGCGCAAAGAATTGGAAAAGTATCAAACCTGTGAAAAGTTTCTACGAAAATTGACTGGGCTCGTACAGGAGGTGTCATGGTATCTGACGATTTTGATCCTAATGTTTTCTCGTCTACTCTATAATTTGTTGAGAAATCTTATCACCCAATATCACCCTCTGGGTAACTAATCTTCTGAATCATAACATTTTCGCTCATTTTACGAATTTTGACGTGTTGAGACAAAATCACGTTACAACAATTTTTGAAGATTCCGGAAAAAGTTTGTTGTACTGAATAACTTGTTTTAACGAGACTCCAAAAGTTGAAATTCTTATGACCGGAAAATAATTTTCACATCAGACCTGCCTATAACCAATTGGATCTTGCTTTTCTGGCATTCTCAAATGTTTTATTATTGTTTGAAAAACTGAGTGATCTTATGGAAAAAAATATTTTCAATCATCAGTTCCATCAGTTGCCTCAATCTTTTCATTCTCGGAATATGATGTGAAAAACTCTTCCTTCGGGAAGGATGATGTGTGGAACTATTGTACAGTACTTGGAAGCATGTTTGTCATCGATTACAGCTTCAATCCATGCTTCACGAACCGATCAGTCACATTTGGGATCAAAAATTTCAGTTTTTGCCTGTCTTAGTCTGGAAATTTCTACTTAGAGAATGTGTCAATTAATTCTGTGTCCGAATGGAAGTGTGTCATTCTGAAAAATGTGTTGAAACGGTATTCGTTTAAACGAGATTTTACTTGATGTATCTTTTCATAGGTGGGCGACGACGTCAGGCAAGACATGCTGGCCCTGCAGGTAATAGGACTTTTCCGAAACGTTCTGCAACGAGTTGGACTCGACCTGTACCTATTTCCGTACCGTGTCGTGGCTACTTCCCCCGGATGCGGCGTGATCGAATGCGTTCCGAATGCGAAATCGCGAGATCAACTCGGTCGACAAACAGATATCAACATGTATGACTACTTCATCACTCAGTATGGCGAAGAGACGAGTTACGATTTCCAACGAGCTCGAAGAAATTTCATCAAATCCATGGCTGCCTACTCGGTTATCGGATTTTTGTTGCAAATCAAGGATCGTCACAATGGCAACATAATGTTGGACACCGATGGCCACATTATCCACATAGATTTTGGATTCTTGTTTGAAAGCAGTCCTGGTGGTAATTTGGGATTTGAGCCGGATATTAAACTGACTGCGGAAATGGTTCGCATCATGGGCGACAAGATGGAAGCTACTCCTTTTAGGTGGTACATGGAGTTGTGTGTTCAAGCTTATCTGGCTTTCAGGTTGGTTTATTTGATTTCAATTACGGTATTTCTTTATTTAAATTATCACCTTTAAACGATGTCACAAGTCGGTTCTTTTTACTCAAACCTTTCTTTTTGTAATACTGTAGCAGACATTCTGACAAAATTGTTCAAACTGCCGTAACCTGAGTTGAACTTTGGAAAAATATTTTCGACTTGGAAATGTTTCACTTATTAAGGTTCAATTGTATATTGACTTTTTTGTTTAAATACTGTCCCTATGTACTGTATATAACTATACTGTATATAGTAAGCCATGTTTGCTTTTGATTCATTTTGCGTAAATTTTCTGCATTATGAAAAATTATTTATTTGCAGGCCGTATCGTGAAGATATTGTGACGCTGGTTTCGCTTATGCTGGACACCGGACTTCCATGTTTTCGCGGTCAGACGATCAAGCAGCTGAAGGAGCGATTCATTCCTCTGGCGTCTGAACGGAAAGCTGCTGAGTACATGATGGGCATAATTAGGAATTCGTTTTTGAACTTTAGGGCCAAAGCATACGACGTTATCCAGTATTACCAAAACCAAATTCCCTATTAATGTGCTGGATAATTTGCCCTGGCATGAGGGTCATGGATATTTTGCTTTGGGATTTTGTCGAACTGATGTTACCTTATTCGTGGCGTTCGGTGTATTTTTTGAGGTATCGGCGGGTTATTTATTGCAAAGTGATCATTCCAAGCCGTATGTGAATGCACGGATGTGGTAGTCTCGGGATGTAGGGGTGACTCGGCGAGTTTCATCTGCTTAAATACTGAGCCGCCGTGAACGAGGAGTAGTTGATTTTAAATCGAGTGATTTCTAACCTACTTGTAACCCATGCCTTGTGCCATTTTGAGAAAGTGTCGAGGATGTTTCTGGTAGAGTAGTTGGAAAAATCTTGGACGCATTCCTGGTGGATTGACCTCGTGATCGTTTCATATTGTTCATCGGGATTATCTATTGACGTACGAAACCTTGTACGGGAAAGACTCTGGTTCATTTTTCTCAAATGCTTTTTTATCCGAAGTGATGGAAAAGTATGAATTTGTTCTTTCTCTTTCTGCGTAGGTTGTGGAAATCTTGGTTTATTCGTGATTATATCGTCGAATTCCGAGAAACTCCGTTGCAATGGTGAGTTAAAAATCCTTCTAGTGTCAGTGGAAAGGTGTACCAGTATTACAGATAATCATGGCAACTTCACAAAATAAATCTGACTGAAAAAGAGACGTAGCCACTTTGCTATAAGAATAAGATTTTTATTATTGAAACTGCCCCTGCAGTCCTAGAATCATGTACCTATTTGTTAATCCTCGATCGAATGTTCAAGTGATTAATTAGGCAAAACTAATTAATTTTGACCTATCTAATCGATTATTAGGTCAGGTGAGATACCAATCTAGTATTCGGTTATTTCAGATAAGATCGATTGATTTGGTCGTGATGTAGACATTACGCTAGGTTGCTCATGACTTTTAAGACAGGGTAATTTTATCATATGAGGTCACTTGCATTTGAGGTTCATTCAATTAAAAAATAAGGATAAGCTTGTTTTGGTTAACTGATGAGTGAATCTGTCCCCAAATTATCTTAGTGTTGATCATGACTTGGGTTATTGAGGTGGGGTTAGTTGAATATTGAGTTGGGTTAATCCTGTTGGATTCGTCATGACAGGTGTTTGATTGAGTTTCGAAGGTGTTCGTTTTATTTATTTTTGTTAGTTTCAATAATTGATAATGCAATTTATCAATGACTTCATTGACTTCACTGTACCTCATTGATGGCCAACTTTATCAATGTAGTGCAGTACCGAAAAGTACTACGATCACAAAAATTCAAAAAAGTCCACGTTTGTGCAACAATTATTTGATGATTATTTTCTTTATGCAGAGACCGCTTATGTTACATGGCCACGAAAGGGCCGTGACGAAAATCAAGTATAACCGAGAGGGGGATCTTCTCTTCACGGCTTCGAAGAGTTCTTGGCTCAATGTTTGGTACTCTGCAAATGGAGAACGTCTTGGAACCTATGGTAAACCCGCGACAGATAACGAACCTGGGTACGGCCACTCTGGTACCATCTGGTGTCTGGATGTGGATTGGATGTCACAGTTTGTCATCACTGGTGCCGGTGACAATTTCATGAAACTCTGGGACCTTGAGACAGGTGCTGCCAGTGTATACAGTATTAATTATTTATAAATTTTAAGGACGGTATTTACTGTAAAAAAAAACTGCAATATTTAATCCCGTACAAAAAATTATATCGAGGAAAACGGAATCTATGGAAAATTTCGTGTTATGGATGCTTTTAGCGCTGTTTTTTCAATATTTATTTGCGCTAATATCTCAGTCATTATAATTTCATTTTTTCGATCTTCAATTTCATGGACGAAGTTTGCTTTATTTTAAAGTTTTATTCCCCCCTCAGGCAAAACACTGTCAAGCGTGGCAACGAAATCAGCCGTAAGATCCCTCGGGTTTAGCTTTTGTCGAAACCTTGCATTTTATTCTACCGACAAGGCGATGAACAATCCATCAGAAATCTTCGTCATTGATACGAGGGATCGAGACTCGCTTGGTAAGTCAACAGCATTTCAAACAGAATTGCATTCTAATGAAATTCTCTGGTTTTTTTTTACGAGAGAGATTTCTGATACTATGCCTCGGTATTTTTTTTTCCTTCCTGAAGGAAATCAACCCGTGATGAAGTTTGACAATTTCTATGACAAAGTCACCGCTGGTCTCTGGGGAAGTCTGGACGAATTCATCGTCAGTGGACACGAAAGCGGAGCTTTAACACAGTGGTGCATGAAGACTGGGAAACAGATCGACAAAAGCGACAGCGATCATACTGATAGTATTCGTGACATGCAAGCCAGTGTAGATGGAACCATGTTCGTTACTTCGTCTAAAGATTGCTACTCGAAATTGTTTGACACGGATTCTCTGGAATGCATGAAGAGTTTCAAGACCGATCGACCCGTGAATTCCGCTGCCCTGTCTCCCAATTTTGAGCATGTGAGTAATTAGATTATCGATGATCTGTGGTTCAAATACTTATCCTCTGTGGGAACGACGTACTCGTAGGCGGGGATGTGTCATTCAAATGTGAAGAACATGCTACAATATTGCAATTTTACTGGCCACGTAAGGTAATTACATACTGTACAGAGTTTCTTTGAAAGTCGGAAAAGTCTTGTATTATCGTAATAATGTTCCCAGGAAAACTACAAGCGTTTCGCTCAAGTGTGTTTTCTGTTGTATTGGGAAATGCCGGCCTGGTTTAGTGCGGAAGAATTTCATGAAATTTGGAAGCGAAATTCAGATTAGATGTAGAGTCTTCATATTTCTTTAGAATTATTATTTTCCTATTTTTCTTGTGCTATTTTAAGTTCAAAACAGATTTTATGAATGAGGATTCGCGCTTATTCAGAATATGTCATTGGTTTGAAGCCAGAAATAGGAGGGTGGAAATTAGGTTCCAAACTCGATTTTATAGCAATGGAAGCGTTCTTCCATTGCTACCAGTTCAAACAAAATGTTCCTGCGTGATAGCTGTATAAGACTTTTCGAAGTAGAACCATGTAAATTGTAAACATTCAATGTGGTGAAATTTTATTGACGTAAAATGTGTTGACACTTTTTTCTGATGTCATTACAGGTTGTCTTGGGTGGTGGTCAAGAAGCCATTGAGGTAACAACAACGTCTGCACGACAGGGAAAGTTTGAAGCACGTTTCTTCCATGTAATCTTCGAAGAGGAATTTGCACGTGTGAAGGGACATTTCGGTCCCATCAATTCCGTTGCCTACCATCCTGATGGGAAGAGTTACAGTTCGGGAGCTGAAGATGGTTACGTTCGTATCCAAACCTTTGACGACTCGTATTACAAATTCAAGTTCGATTTTTGATTGGTGTAAATTGAAACTCATGCTAAATGTGCGCTGGTTTCAGTAAAATTCCTTCAAGTGAAAAAATCTTGTTTTGTTTATGGATTGTATTTGGTCAATGTTTGCGTGTAAATCTGAATACCAATTTGATTGCAATCTCTATTTGCAAGGTAAATGCATACCTTCATCAAAATCAGTGCAGCTGGAGTCCGCTGCAATAAAATATACCATGCAGAATAAACCTTGAAAACCATGTTTTCTTATTTGTAAATATCAAAGTTTCTGTTTTTCTTCTATATTCAACTTTCTGTATTTTTTTAAACTGGCCACATAAATAATGTGCATTCTCTATTATCCTAACTCAGATTTTCCTCTTCCTGCATTTTAGGCCCCCGAAAAAGAAGTAAGTAAATTTTGACTGTGCATACTCCATTAAAAACTCCTTTGAAGCATCTATTTGAATACAGTGAGACCCCCCACATGTGGACACCTCAACATGGGGACAATTTGACATAGGGCCGCTTATTTTCCAATGAAAAAAGCATAGAAAAAGGCTCAGCATATGAAAACTGACTTGACATGAGGAAATTGCATGATAAAATTGCTGATACATTCAAGGAAAATTGACTTTTTCTAGGCTTAATTGCAAGAAACAGATATTTCCAACCCTAAGATCTATGCAGGAAAAATTCTTTGGTACTTTTCCCATCACTTTCCCAGCCATTCAGCTGATTTAAAATAAGTACCTATAGGGCAGTAGGACTTCCTTCTCTTTTTGTGACTTGGATGTTATTTTTGAAGATGCCAACATTTCAATGAACTGTACAGTGATGTACTATTCAATGTTCCAAATGTTCTTATTGGGTTGAAAAGATATTCACTGAACCAAATTCAAGTGGCAAAAAATGGTTTTCACAGAATTCTGGAGAATATTTCTTCTGTAAAACATCAATTAAAATTATATAACCTAAGTCTATGGGAAAACAAGACTCAACTTAGGGAAAATGCAACTTAGGGACTCTTGATGCCCTAATGACATCCACGTCTGGCATCTCACTGTAAACAAATATTTGAAGCATCTTATCCATTTGTGACTGATAGAGTAAGTCCAAAAGGATTATTTAAACCAAAACCTACATAAATTCAATAAAACTCAAAGTTGTGCAAAGGTGTCAAAATATTCAACAAGCCCTGAATTTTTTAACGGGGTGTATTGATTGGCTGATTGATTAAAATTTATTTGAGCCACTGCTGCAGCATGTATACCTTCATTGTCCAACTTGTATCATCTGCTGTAACATTGATTGTCAATTTTGTCTGGCTTATTCATGTGCTTCAAACTTAAATGAACTGAAAAAATAGGCACAAAAATAGTTTCTGGGCAGTAAACACCTGTGCATTGCATACCAACACTAGCCCTAAGTAGGTCAATTACAGTATAATAAGGTACTGTAAGCTTGGCTAGAATACAGGCAGTGTCAAAGAATTGATCTTGTCTCCTCAGTAATTTTTTTTTCAAAACCTGTACAATACTGTTTTTGCTGAACACTCCTGTCATTCTAAACTCAATTGTTGAACCCTTCTGAAGCTAATTCCTTGCTTGAAGTAATCAAATGCAAAATTCCATTGAAACTTACATCAAACAGGCCTCAGAGGAGGCATTTTTCAAACAAACAATTTAATACAACTTGTCAAATGCACTTATTGTCAAACCACATTTCAAAAAATGTGCCTGACACCTGGGAAACCCATGGAACATCCCATCATGTTATTTCACAAATACTTAGCAGAATCAAATTTTCTCAGGTAAAGTTAGTACACTGCTTCCTGCATAAGGGATGTACAGTATTCCCAATTCTTGAAGTCACCCATGTGCAACAATGAGAAAGAGAGTGAGATGGGGGGAGGGGGGGTAGTGGTGAAGAGTTCTGCTCTGGTGAGATTGGGCCTTCCCATGAGGTGGTGTAGTTTCTCCCTGGAGCACCCCAGCAAAACTTCACGCCGCTGCACCCCCCCTCCCATCCCCTCACTCCCTATCCTCTCCTTTACGCACACTAGTGACAGACTTCAGGGTTTGAGTTTAGTGCAGTGAGCAGTGTCACAGGACAATATGCTACACCAGTTCTAGTAAGGTTTAACATGCTGTGCAGTACTGTGCTTCCCATTGTCAACATGCTGTTCCAGTAACCCTGGAAAGTGTACCAAGATTTTCTAGTGCAAGCACTAATATTGAGCACATTAATCAGACAAGAAAAGGCTTAGAGATTCATTAATTGTGAATGCAATGAATGAGCAAATGTAGAACTGAGAGGGCAAAGTGCAAGTGGAATGCTGCTTGATGGATAGATGGCAGCATTGGTGCAATACAGATGCTACCAGTGAAATTGAAGAGATTTCCCATTGTAAAGCATTCTAAATGCTTGATCTCAATTTTTAACTGAATTGTTCCTTTGGACAGAAGGTGAATTCTCTGACCATTTTTGAAGTATTGTCCAGTGTAGAAGGCGTGTACAGTATAAGCTAAGGTTTGGGATCACAGAATGGTTTTGACAGACTAACAGTAAATGATTAAATATGCCTGAGATTGAGAAAGGACCAGACAATTGCCCTCAGGGGATCAAAATCATAGAGAAAGTACGCCGCAGTTTATATCCTAAACAAATGCAGGGATGAAGGCTCCAAATGGAAAAATACACCTCCTTTCTCTTGAGACTAAAAGAAAATTATTTTTAAAATTCTTCCATGTGTTTAATTCCGATTTTCCCATGAAATAATGATGACCAAGATAGAAGGAAGATCTGTTGCAGATGAAAGTAAAAACAAATTATCTTGATTTAATCTCCTTTTTGGTACGCCTCTCCCATAAACCACCACCCTTGATAAACCACCACCCTTGTTAAACCACCAAAATCCTGCTGCACAGACAGTGGCAGTTTTACAAGGTTTGTGTGTACACTTGCTACACCACTTCCCACATAAGGGGTGTATTCCTGATTCTTGAAGTCACTCATGCACAATCAGGGAGAGAGATTGTTGGGTTCAGGGCATGAGGGGATGGTGGGTGCAGGGCTGAGGAGTTCTGATGGCTTGCAGTTCTGCTCCAACCAGATGGGGCCTCACCTTCTCATGGTGAATGACACATGATACTCTGTGGTTTTTTAATAAAAGGACATGGCGCATTGCTTGTGCGCACCGTGATCATTGAAGTGCCACCTGTGATGGGATTAACGAGGCTTTGTGAAGTGTTGTCCGGTATTTCTCATCATTGAAAGAGAAGTTGTTCCTCTTCTGCTGGTTGAGACGATTTTTTCATGTTCAGTTTACTGATTCAATTGTGTGATAGCTTATTATAGAACAATTGGTGATCTGCGCTGTTCAGCCCTTTTATCGTTTTCCGTACCTCATCGAACTTGTGATGGCTGATGTGCAAGCATTTACGATGGATGCGGGTCTTGGTGATGTAGCAATTCATGGATTGGATGCCACTCGGCTCTTCGGATCTGGCGACGGTTTAACTTACAGGTTTGCGAGATTAGTCTCAGAAGTCAAGCATACGTTTTCCCTAATTGTGTTTTTTTAGTGATTTCCTAATCTTGCCCGGTTTTATCGACTTTACTCCTGATGATGTCTGCTTGGAAACTCAGCTCACGCGGAAAATCAAGCTGCGAACGCCGCTTGTTTCTTCCCCGATGGATACTGTCACTGAAGGGGAAATGGCAATCGCAATGGCTGTACGTATGGCGAATACTGTAGCAAGTGATTCAATTCTAATATATTTATTTGGATATTATCTTGCTAGCTGTGTGGAGGAATCGGTATTATTCATAACAATTGCTCAGTGGATTTTCAAGCGGGAGAAGTTATGAAGGTGAAGAAATACAAGCACGGATTCATTCGTGATCCCATCGTCCTTTCTCCGAAGCACGTGGTACGTTTTATGCCGGTGAAATCACGAAGATGACTTGTGACCTTCAGTCAATCGGTTGCCTTCAGGTTAAAGACGTGTTCGGAATCAAGTCTCGACATGGTTTTGCCGGCATTCCGATCACTGATAATGGACAACTTGGAGGGAAGCTGTTGGGGATGGTGACTTCGAGAGACATAGACTTTCTCTCACCGACTTCGCAACCACTTTCTGAGGTTTGGACGCTGTCATGATTCACCTTGAAACCTTTCATTTCTTTATGAGTTTTGTTCAATTTTTAGATAATGACGCCGTTTTCTGAACTGATAACTGCCGTTTCGGGGGTAGCATTGGATGCCGCCTATGAATTACTTGAGCGGAGCAAAAAAGGGAAATTGCCCATCATTGATCAAAATAACTGTCTCGTCGCTCTGATTGCCCGCACAGATCTGAAAAAGTCGAGGAATTTTCCTCTCGCTTCCAAAGATGCGAATGACCAGTTGTTGGTTGGCGCCTCGATCTCCACGCGTGATGCCGATAAAGTTCGACTTGAAGCGTTGGTCAAAGCTGGAGTTGATGTTATTATACTGGTAATTATCCGTAAGCTAGGTTTTGGCATTTAATGAAGATCGTTTCAGTTAGAAATTCTTCATTGAAAGTTAGCTAACGCTTGCGAGACATCTTGCCTCTTCTAATTTGATGATAGATGTTCGCTGGATTATTGGATACTTGTCTTCAAGCAGAAAATTTTCTATTTGTGTGGACTTCTTCGGAAATTCTGTGGAATTAACTCTCTAGGACCCCATTTTAAAAACTATTTACCGGAACGTACCTTTTTTGTGTTCAGGATTCATCTCAGGGGAACTCATCGTTTCAACTGGAGATGATAAAATATATCAAAGCCAAGTACCCCGAACTCCAGTTGATCTGCGGAAACAGTGAGTATGCCTTAATGTTTATTCTTGAACGAAGAATGTTATAATTTTATTTGAATTGTAGTCGTCACCGCGGCTCAGGCGAAGAACTTGATAGAAGCTGGTGCAGATGCGCTTCGAGTAGGAATGGGCAGTGGATCAATTTGCATCACGCAAGAAGTCATGGCAGTTGGTAGGCCACAAGCAACGGCTGTGTATAGAGTTAAGCGCTAATGCTTGTTTCTTAGGTTTTTAACCTTGGTCACTAGTTATTTTTTATTTTAGGTAGCTGAATACGCCCGTCAGTTTGGCATACCGGTGATAGCGGATGGAGGAATCCAGTGTGTTGGACACATAACGAAGGCTCTATCTCTTGGCGCTTCTACTGGTGTGTTTTACTCGTTAGTTTCGGTTCGTAATTTTAATTTTCAATTTTTCATTTTTATTTGTGTGTAGTTATGATGGGAAGTTTGTTGGCTGGGACGACTGAGGCTCCGGGTGAATATTTCTTTTCGAACGGAGTTCGTCTAAAGAAATATCGTGGCATGGGCAGTTTGGAGGCGATGACTCGAGACGATCACGGATCTGATGGTGGTTGCGGTCCGATGGAACGATATTTTCATAAGTATGTCAGCTCTATCATATATACATTTCTATGCTTTGGTTGGTTTAGAAATTTTACCATTCATGCTCTCATTCTCATCAAGGAATTCCGAAGATGGAAATAATTGTTTTGGATGTTCGGGATCAAAGGAGAATCTGCGATTTTTTTTCTGTAAATGATTTTTCGATAGCTAAGTGGCAAAAATTAGATTTCAAGTTCACTTACTTTTGCGTGGTTTCTCCAGGGATTCGGATGGCATCATATTCGAACTCCAACTTTTCTAAAACTGAATTGAGGTGATTGGTACAAATTTCAGGAGACTTGAAAAAATCGTACTGTGGAAACTGGGAATTAAAATGCTGGCTCGAAGAAATATTAATTTCAAATGCAGTATTATGCAGTCCAGTAATTACTTTTTTTTCGCTTACTTTTCCCTAAATTATCCCGAAGAGTGAAGAGACAGGGTTGCCTATATCAGATGACAGTTGATTTTCCTTGATGTCCAGTTTCTGGGTAGAAGATACAATTCTGCGTTCTTCATTTGATTTGATTTAGAAGATGAGAATCTGTACAGTATTTTACTCGAATCAGTGAGGAGTACGATGAACAGTTACAAGGGACGTTTATTTGAAGAGGCATTGCGATTAAAAACTTTTTCCCGACTCCGGAAAGCAGCCTTGAATCATGTGAACGCACTGGCAAAGCTTCCGAAGCAGCCCTTTTACCATTGTTTTTTCGTGAAGTGAAATGAAATATACTTCTTTGATTAATTCAACGCGCTTATGAAGAGGTATTCTATATTTCCAGGGACTCTGATCAAGTCAAAATTGCACAAGGCGTCAGTGGAAACATAGTTGACAAAGGCAGTGTTCTGAGATTTATTCCGTACCTGATTCGTGGGCTTCAGCATGGTTGCCAAGATATTGGCGCCAGATCGCTCATGAAGCTCAGGTATGCATCCTTCAAATCACGGTCGTATCGTTTTCTCGATGCTCATATCCTTTCGGGGTTCTCTTTATTTCTTCAGACAAATGATGTACAGCGGTCAGTTGAAATTCGAGCGCAGATCGCTGGCGTCACAAGTGGAAGGAGGAGTGCATGGGTTGCATTCGTATGAAAAACGTTTGTTTTGACAAGGAAAAGGCCATCCTGTTCCCTCCACTTCCTGTTAGAAACTTTAGTGGAACGTACTTGAGTGACTCTCGCATCATGACTGCTTTTTAGATGCTGGTCACTGTGGAAGCCATGTTTTAGAGAAGTATCTTCCCAGTCTCTGCTGTGCGTGGATTCATTCCCGTTGTTGTGACCAAGAAACTCTTCGTGCCATGGGAACTAAAGCATTCCTACTTGTGTGAAAGATTTGCTGCTGTATGTTTCGGACTACTTTTCACTGGTGGATCTGGGTGATTTTGAAACAAAACTAACGTGCAATTTTAAAACTACTTATTCGTGAAGAAAATTGGAAGAGAGAGAATATGTTGGGAAGGACCGGAAAGATTCCGACGGAACTGGAGGAAATATATTGGACGGCGGAGAATGAGAAACGAAGAGTATTTCTTGTGGTGATCAATTGCGGAATGTTGGTCAGCGTTAAATTTTCATGAATTAACCTCACAGGGAATAATGGAGAATGTGAATTTCCTGTGTCAAAGATGTGGTGCTCCCATCCGAATGAACAATGAGTTCAATACGGCTTCCGAGCATACCATCGCTGAATTATCACGTAAGTTCTTTCGTATTCTCAGCCGAGAGCTAGTTTCGGAAATGGCATTTTCCCACATTTTTAAAGAGCTATCGCCTCAGTAACGAAACATGAAGTAGAAGTTTAGTGAAAGGTACATTTTCTCTTTTTTTTTTTACTTGAGCTGCGATGGCATGAACGCAAGAATCCATGTGAGATTTTAAAAAATTCGAATTGTGTTTCGACGTTTTACATTCTAATTCTGCATATTATTCGAATGCTAGAGTTTCAAAATTTGCTGGGCAACATAGGCATGTGTTAAAATGACAGATTGTAGCGTTAACTAGTCCATTTATCACCTGGAGTTAATTTTTTGTCAACCACGCTTTGTAACTTGGAATGCTGTGCTTATTTTTCGAAAATGATGCTCAATACCTGAGACCCCCTCTTCTTACAATTTGAGCGCTTATTTAAAAGTATTTAAACGCGTGAAATTGAAAAGAAAATGTGTAAAACCTGTAGAAACTGTTTTCATGTACTGTACATTTTTTGGCACCGATGATCTTGAAGCCTTGGTGTTGAAAATCATGAAAAATATAGAGTACGAAATTGTAATTCGACCTTCATTTTTCAAGGTGGTAGCGTAGTTGATTCAGAAATACCGTACCGATGTTCATTAATCTCAATGCTCTTTTCATCGCCGAATTTCAGCAAATGTGTAAAAACAAATGGAGGTTCTATGATGCTTTCTTATTCGTTATAGTGCCGACAAATGTGTGTCTGTGTCAAGTGCTATCATGAATTTTTTCATCACGAGTGGTATCCCTTTTCTAGTACCCATCTTACATACCGCCAAGTCATTTCCTTCAAAAGCGGGTGCGAATTACGATGTCATCACGCATAGTTTCAAGTTGCGAGATGTGGTGAACGGTGGTAATGGTTTCATGTTGGTGAACGAATCTGTCGAGCAGGAAACACTTTCTCATAATCTACGAGTGAGTAATTTTCTCCATCGTTGAAAATGCGTGAATGTTGAAAATGAGTTCATAGTTTATGTCGAACTCGCCTGTCGTGGCACGGAAAATGATATCTGTCGAACAATCAAAGGTTACGTAACGCGTTTCGAATCACTGTACAATACAGAGGTTAATGCCCCGAAGTGGGGGCACGTTTTTTCTCAAGGTTGCGATGCTTTGCCTAGAGCATTATGTAACTACGAGGAATTTAAATTGTGGTATCGTGATGATAAAATCAAGTTGCCTCACCCGTATCCACTTTTTTTTTATTCCGGAGACTATCGTATCATCTGTTTTAATTGCGCATTGAACGTTACTGCAAAACAGACGTATTAATTTTTTCAGCGTCCTTCATTTCGCTTATGAGTGGATACGATATTGAAACGCCGCACATTTCGTTGAAACTCGATCAAAGAAAATGTGCCAGCATTTTTTTTAAGTTTTCAAAATTTTTGTTCGATGAGTCAGGATGATTTTTTAAAATATCCAGATGACCGCCGAATTGATGGACCTGATGTCCAGTACCAGCAGTGTGGATCACCCCGTGTGTCAAGATTGCTGCGAATCTTTACTCAGTACGTTGGAAAATGAGCTCGAGAAGGTGGAAAGCGATTTGAGAGATTATAATGTACTCCGGAATAAGCTTCGTCTAGAAGAGAAAAATCGACACTCGACCGTAGGAAGAGCCGAAATGAACGATATGATCAAAAAATTAGACGAGGTATGTTAATCTGACATCTTTTTGATGCATATGGTTTTCTGAAGTATAGCTGCGTAGGTATGACCTCTTACCCCAAGCAATATTTATTTTTTACTCATTCAATTAAAATTACGACTCTTTTGGTGTGGTAGATTTTATCGGAGGTTATCTCCTACATTGAATCGTCAATAAAGTGCCGACCTCTTCTGGCCGAAAAACCGCATTTTGAATTTGTGCGCATACGTTGAACAGATTTCTGGATTAAATTTGTAGAAGTTATTAGCAGCGACATCTACCCGCGTGAGATTGAATTTTAATCGTCGTGGACGGCATTGAAACCTTTTCGACATGCTCTCTCGCTGCCTGAGATGATCCACGTCGCATAGAGGAGTAGTTTTTAAAACGATCATGTTTGTAAGATTACTTCTTCGAAAAATGCCCTTAACCTCATATTTCGCGTGTATTGTACTCAGGATTTTTTAAAATCGAAACGTCACGAATGGGATGTTTGATTTCAGTATTTCTAACAGATGAAAGAAAACGAAAAAGACTTACTGCTGGAACTGAAAAGACTTCAGATAGAAGAAGAGGTAGCTGATAGGGAGTTGGCAGAGCTGGAGAAAGAGCGCGACGGACTTGTAAGTGAAGAACAACGGTATTTGAAAGAATACGCCAAGTACAAGCAAGAGACATTGTGTTTGGAGGACGAAACTCGGAGGTACGTATAATCACGAATTTATGAAAACGTGAATATCTGACACCTGACTTTCGAATCATTTCCTCTAAAGCCTGGTAACTGTATCTTCAGTCTTCCAGCCCTTTCGAGTTGATCCTTTCGGTTTCATTTTTAACGTAAACTTTGTTTCAAAAACTAATTGCCCCCCCCCCCTCTCAAAATTGAGAGGAGGAAAAAGGGGGGTGTGCGTAATAAGATACAGACCGATTGAGACTGGACAAATGTAGACAGGGACAATTCAAGACAATGACAATTTGAGACGGAAAAATTGAGACAAAAACTAAATTAATGAGGAGAGGAATCTGCTTAGGTTGGTTTAAAGGTTTGAGTTTTTCCTTAATGAGGAAAAACTTGACAGTGATGATGGACAAAAAGGAGAAACATTCTGGGATCATGGACTTTTCACCAAACAGTGAAATTTTTCTTCAATTTTCACACCTTAAACATAAGAAAATACAGTAATAGGGAAAAACACAGTCAAGTCATTTTGTCTCAAAAAATCAAAATGTATCCGTCTCAAATTCTAAAAATGTTTTTGTCTCAATTTGTCCATGTCTCAAAAAGTTTCAGTCTCAAATTGTCCCTGTCAGAAATTGTCCTTGTCTCAGAAAGTTTCTTTCACAAATTTTCCCCGTCTCCAAGAGTACTCAATTTGGCCCTGTCTCAAGTTTGCTCTGTCTTGATTTGTCCTAGATCCCTGCGTAATAGATGATAGAGTATGTATTTTTCAAGTGTTCAAAAGTGTGGGTGCATATTATACTTGATTCTAATGGCAAATAGGCCAATTTTACCAAAAAACTTACTTTAATGGAAAAAGCTGAGAATTACTTGAATTCAGGTTCAATTCATGTTAAAATTTAGATTTGGTTGTTTTTATCTTGGAAATATTGCAGTTCTACATTCGTAAAAAATGAGGCGCGCGTCTTACTCGGGGATACAATGTTATCAACATTTTCTATCGAAAACCCGTGGGGCGCGTCTGCGAGTGATACAGTGCTTGAGTATGTACGGGCAATTATATATATATTTTTTTCGTTATATTATTTTAGTGTCGAATGCCAGCTGCGTTACGCTCAGACTCAGCTGGAAAAAGTGAGAAATACCACTGTGTTCAGCGCAGCGTTCCATATTTGGATTGCGAACGATTTTGGGGTGATAAACGGATTCAGACTGGGTCGCCTGTACGAACAACCAGTCGAATGGTGGGAAATCAACGCTGCCTGGGGTCAGACAGCTCTTCTCCTCTCTTCAATGGCCGCCAAACGTTCCTTCGTATTCAACAAGTACAAGATCGTCCCGTACGGAAATTTTTCGTGCATCAAAGTACAGTAATGGATTTGACGTTCCATCTTTCCGGGATGGAAAGAAGCAAAATCGATTTTTTTTTCCCGTATGTTTTCAGATCATCGACGACAATAAGACGTTGAATTTGTATGGCAGTGGGAGCTTTCGTACGGGTATTTTCTCTGACCGAAGCTTTGACCAAGGCATGGTAGCGTTTCTTGACTGCTTACAGCAGTTGAAAGCTGAGATGGAGAGAACGGATGATCTTAGACTGCCGCATGGTATCGATAAGGACAAGGGCAGAATCGACGATGGTGTCGGAAATTGGTACTCAATTAAGTAAGTGGTTGTGACACTTCTCCATGATCAATTCACTGAAGAAGAAATGCAGTCGAATCTTGATAACCCGCCACCATTTGTTTGTGAGGCTTGTGGCGGTTTAACGGGTTGAAGCGGGTTGGTGGTTTGTCAAGAAAGCTGAAATAATCTGAAAATTAGGTAAAATTGGAAATAAATTCATATTCTTCTAGAAAACTATCAAAATAATGGTGGGGCGTGTAAATTATATTTAGCTAATTTTCCTAAGAAGTGAATCATGTTATATACTGTATATATATATTTATTTATTTATTTAATTTTCAAATCAGAAATCTCTCGCATGAACATGGATCTTGTTGGCGAGGTACTAGGGACAGATTTTATGAGTAGGAAGGATCATATTTGAGTTTTTAAATAATTTTGGTGGATGGCGTTCTGACGGGGTTTTCAATGCTTTTATTATTAGAAGTAAGATTTGCTTTTCAAAATGAAGTGGCGGCTTAAAGCGACGCGTTTTAACGGAGTAAAAGCTTTTTTCTGCTTTCTGGGTCTTTTTTTGCGAGAATGGAAGTAGGCGAATAATTTCCGGTTTTTGTTCTTCAAAAGTCATGATAATTATTAAAAAATGAATCTGCATTATGCGACGAAAAATGGGCAGCCGAGTTTTCGCTCAGGAGTAAAGACCGCTTTTAGTTGGCTAGCAAATATTTTGATGGGCCCTTAGTTTTATTCAATCGGAAGAAACTCAAAATATGTCATTGCATCGCTTTTTTTTCCAGAATCCAACTCAATTCCGAAGAGCAGTGGACGCGTGCTTTGAGATACATGTTGGTGAACCTCCAGTTGGCCTTGAAGTACGTTTCGTCGCTTGAGAACGAAGAGGAAGATACAAACTGAACGCTTTAATACATGCAGTATTTTAAGTCACACGCGCTGTGTTCATCTTTCCTGAAAGAAATATTGATGATGGTTTTTTATTTTGATGTTGAATAATCGAAAACGGATCATTTGATTCTCCCCTAGGTATGTGTGATCCCCGGGGATTGAATATGCTAACATAAGTGATACTTGCATCGTGTGCATTCCATATGTTTCGCCTTCCAATGCATGGACTTTCCGAAGCGGTGCTGGAGGCTAACGGTGTGTCGACTAAACTAGTCAAGGACCCCAACGGGAACGACGTCAACCACTCTAAAACATGGTTCGCTGGATTCTACACTTGTCTGCAACCCATCCTGGACAAGATGGTCTGGAATAACAAGCCATTCGAGGAAGAAACCGGTTCCTGGGAAATCGACTTCTCTGCGCTCTCGGACCTGGAATACCTGGCCTCTGGTGCTCAAGGTCACGTTTACAAGGCGCGTTATCGAGACCGCGTTGTGGCTGTCAAGAAAGTGGATGAACTCAAAGATGCGTATTGCATGCGGAAATTGAGCCGGCATCCGAACATCGTGGCGTTGTTTGGCTTATGCTTCAACCCGTGTTGCATCGTCATGGAGTATTGTCACCAGGGGTCGTTAGTGGATTTTTTGCGAGAGAAACGGACGGAGAAGCTGCCGTTGACTAGGGTAGTCAACTGGGCGCGGCAAATTGCGCAAGGAATGGCGCACTTGCATTCCAAGAAGATCCTTCACCGGGATTTGAAAAGTGCAAACGTGTTGATCTCTCGCGATTCCTTGAAGATCACAGATTTTGGAACTAGTCGAGATTGGTCGAGTGTGGAGTCGAACGACTCTGTGTTTATGACGCTGGCTGCGTGATATGGGACCTACCGCGGGCTCTACTATGCCAGCCTCGCCACAAGCCTATTCCACCTGCACACCAGGAAGCCTCACCACGACACCCTCAACAACTGGACACTGCACGGCAAGTTCCCACAAGGTCTGCCGGCTGTGCTGTACGGTGTGGGGAACGGGTCACTGCATCTTCCTATTCCTGCCTGTTCTGCCGGTGTGTTGTGTAATCTTTCTCGATTTTTACGTATAATTACTATTTATATGTTATTTATAATTTCTCGTATATAGGTCGGTTGCAATTTAGTCGATTTAAAAAATATTGTATTCCTCGATAGTCGATGCAAATATTTTTATGCGTTGTGCTGAATGCCCTGGGGGCGAATTCTTGGAAACGTGAACAGTTGCTTAGAAGGCGTCTTTGAAGATGAACGCACTTGAACTTCGTAATGTTTTCAATAGGTATTTGAGTTGGAAATTTAGACCCCTAGACTTGAGATGGAAAGGAGAATCGGAAAAAAGTTGTGAAGAATTTCATATCGGTTATCTTGGAAAATCGAAAATTCTTGAATTCCCGAATTTTGCAGTCCTTTCGTAAAAATATAAATACAGGTGGTACCTCGCAATTAGACGGTCAAATTCCCAGGGAGATTGACCTGCTTTGGCCAATTTTTCGAGTTTTTGTAATTTTTTTTTTTATTTAACGAAGTGTTTCGCAATTCGACCCTAGTTTCTGTTGCCTAATTCCAGCTTAACGCTCCATGCGATATAAAACAGTCACAAAATATATTTTTAGTTACATTACTAAAAGTGACTAAAAGTGAGGTAGTGTGACAAGAGGTCACACTACATAAAAAGTAATTCGTGTGAAAACCACCCCTCTTGACGAATATAGTGAAGTAAGATGGTATCTAAGTTGTAAAAACTGTACTTGGTCTAATAATGGAAAATGCAAGCTTCCTCGAGTAAACACCAGAATTTTGCAACTTATTTTATGAAATCTTTTCAATATCCACGATAAATAATTTAAATTAATGTTGAATGTTAATTTTTATAATTTAAGACAATGCCATTCCAGGTAATTTTCTAATCCTTTTTTTGCAGCCATTTCCGTAGGAAGTTTTTTTCAATGTTTTTGTAGCATTCTTGATGTGAAAAGTTGAAATTGATCACTTCAATTACTTCTTAAATGATTAGTGGAATTTCCTACTCAATCAAAATATTGTTCATTCCCTGCAGGTGTGGAACTTCTTTTGCGACTATGCTGGGCACCATGTCCGCGGAATCGACCAGGTTTTAAGCAGATCATCATTCACTTGGATATTGCGGAGCGTGAATTCAAAACAGATCCCAATGCAAATTCCGTTTGCGCGGACGTCGTCACCCGGGACTTGTACGAAGTTCGGCTACACGAAACAACACGACTGTTCTCCAGACTGAATGGTATTTTGCAGCGTTTGGATTGTTCTTGCCAGATTGTTGAAGGCCGCGTGGCAAATCGTAGAAGGAATTCCCTGTGAGTCTGATCTGATTATAACTGTAAATCTTAAATGCAATAGTGTTCATATGCGCTGCTCCGGCAGGAATGACGATCTCAAAAATTGCGTGTTCTTTTTCCATAAGGGCACCAATAACATATCAAAAACTCAATAACACCAAGCCATGTTAATTACTAGAGTCTTCGACCCAAGACACGTTATTTAACTAGACTATTAACTCAGAGGTTATTTCCGATAATTAAAGGGAAATTTTCTGCGATCTACTTGCCACTCGGTATACAGTACTGATTGAAATTGAATTTAGCGGCTCTGGTACTGTGGTTGAATGAAACTCTAAAACAATCAACGTTTCAGTATTTGATTCAACTACCTGAATAGAAAGTGATATGAGGAAATGATACCAGCGGGAATTCGATTTGAAAGTTGAATCGAAGACTGAAAAAAAATTGCAGGATATTGATATCAGCGAGAATTTAACTCAGAAAGTTGAATGATACATGAATCAAACTCTCAAGTGCCACTGTCAACATCACATNACCAGCGGGAATTCGATTTGAAAGTTGAATCGAAGACTGAAAAAAAATTGCAGGATATTGATATCAGCGAGAATTTAACTCAGAAAGTTGAATGATACATGAATCAAACTCTCAAGTGCCACTGTCAACATCGCATAATTTATAGAGAAGCAGACGGAAGATTGCAGCTGGAAATATCCATCTTCAATTCTCACTCCTTCGAAATAAAATCTTGACATTAGAAAGAAGCGCAACCGAAATATATTCACTCCTTGGCAAGATCTTAGAAACTTCTGCACAAAAGCTGCAGTTGAAAATAAATTATAATGTTCGAAGCTGAATTATTGTTGCCTGTAGTCTAGATTGCTCTAAGTGAAGAATACGAAGCTTGTTTTTGGGGAAGTTTTTAGTGACCAACTTAGTGTCTTGTACGAACTGTTAATTTTAACTGACAAGACAGTTAAAATTTCAACGTAGCAGAACGTGTCTGCCACCCTTGATTCGTAGACCATATCATAGCACTAACATCGTAATCCAAAGTAACATTAAATTTTCTCACCTGAAGGGTGAAAAGCCATGCAGCAGAGGGTATGGATGAAAACTATGCTGACCGCAGTACATGAAAAATCTCAAGACAATTGTAACTAGCTTAACGATTCATGGCATCAATGCAGGACTTGTTTTCCATCTTCCCGATCAGTGCATCCACTCTGCAAGGATAAAATACGCTCAATGAAGAATAAAACTCAAAAATTTGCCTAAGCCCTTTTGCAATGGCCAGTTGCTATTAGGGCACTTGGGGGTTACGGAAGGTTACTAGGTAGTGAACAGCTAAAAAGCACAGAAGGGGGGTTTGTTTGTACTAATTTGGTAGTGACTCGCCGGCTTTAACCAGTTGTGGATCGTGCAGCATTTCTTCCGCATGACACGACACGCCCTGGCAAACAATACAGTGCGCATACATTTAAACATCTACCGTATATATGCGAACACATTTTCATGAACTGAGTTTCTGGTGGATGATTACACATGCTCAAGACGTAATGCGTTGCTAGACGTAATTTCTGTAGCACACCGCGGTCAAGGATGCAGGGTCAGTATAAAAAAAGGAACATATCTTGAGTTTAACATGAGAAAACTGCAGATCGTAATCAGCGTTGCTGAGAAGATAAAGTTGATACCAGCGACATTTACTGCAATCCTGGCGCAATACAGAAGGTGTAAAACAGCGTCCCGAAGTCTACAACAATTTTTTGAAAGGAATACTCACTGCCAATTTGAAGCACCTGGCGAACCGAATAGCCATGTCAGTACTCTTCGTTCGAGGATCAGAGTACGGTGGCCACTTGGTTGTCACTCCTTGGGTCAAGAACAAAACCGGGAAAGCTGGTTGTTTCCACTTCAAGCTACATAGAGAGCGATGCACACTCATGAGTGAGTAACTCCGCGAGAACAAAACCATACATTCTTTCACTCACGCGATGCAAACGTTGGGGTTGAAACACGACAGCACAATAAGCCGCTTCGCCAGATTTTCTTCTACAGTCCGCAATATCTCGTCGACGTACTCGTTCAGGTCGAATGGATTTTCGAACTCAGTACTATCTGAGATACTGTGCCTGTTCATAAGGTGGTTAGTTAGTTCAATGACGACGATAACTAATCACTTTGAGAAGTGGTCTTTTATAATGTATTAAGTAGTCCTTTTATAATATGAGTCGAGTTTATTTTTTTATGTAGTCGAATTTCAAGGTACCAGCAAAAAGATTCGAGTTTTCAAGTTAGGGACACAAGCATTTGCGTAAGAAGAAAGAAAAAAGAATGACAGGAAATTGTGATTGCTGATATTCCAGGCCTTAAATCGCTTCTTAAATGAGTTGACAGTATGCTGAACTCAGAGGCAAGGGTTGAATTGCCCAATTACAGTACAGTATTTTTAAACTTCCTATCGAAACACATCAAGTTACATTTCTACTGCTTTTCTCTTTCCAGTGTCAACAAAATAAAATCAAGAAGGACCCCCGGGAAAATCTGAGTTATGGAAGTTTGAGGAGGAAAGCCTTCGTTGGAGAGGTTTTCAATGAATTGCTTGAAAGGGAATTCAAATTGGAACTTGAAAAAAAAAAAATCGACTCACGGAGGTTCGGGTTACCAAGGTTGAACTGTACGTCATTCTCTCTAGCAAAAGCAAAATAGAAATCGCGATCTAAAAATTCATGAATAACTGAATTATTTGAGGCTCAAGAATTTCTTCGGCGTCATTTTCAAAGTGGATTCTAGAACTTCACTAAATATTTCTGAACTTCAGAAATCACCCTAGTTCTCTCATAAAAGGGGTAGTACACAGTTTTCAAGTTTCCGTGCTCGATCTTTCATTAGAAAAATAAGATCGAATAATTTTGGGGAACAATAAGGCGACAGGACTTTCTGAATCTCAATGCAATTTCGCTTTAAAAAAAAAATTCAGCTGGTGGTTCAACTCAATTTTTGACACGAGTAAATTCGCGACAATAAGTCGACGGGTTGATTCTCACCGGGTAACTGCTGGGATACTTGAGCTCCACATTAATGCCAACACTGAGATCCAGGAGACTCGCGACAGTTTTCAGCGTAGGGAATGGTTTCGACAATGGGTCTGCTTGCCACACCCCGACCTCTGCGTCGGTCGCATTGCTGGCAACGATTTCATGAAGCTGCTCCAACGTGTGGTGACATATGGAGAGCCGAAACTTGCTCGCGGCTGAATCCATGATGCTCGACGCAAGCTTGACCGGTACAAAGAAGTCGTGATACACCACGGGCACCTTAAGGCTCCAGTTCACTTACAGGTTGAGCTAGTATAGACGCGGCACTTACGGTCGGAGGTACTTACTAGCGTGTCACAAGAGGGCACACATGTTACCGGGCAAAGACCTCTTAGTGACTGTAATAATTGGATCAATATACACAAGGTAATTAACGCGTTGAATCAGTCACATGACTATTAAACGACGGATTTTACACTTTTATTTTTCTTTCCACTGCAATGATGAAACTAACGTCATGTAATGCGTTTCGAATTGCTGTACGTCAGTTGACGGAAAGTGATGCTACGAAGTAGAGCACGTTTCATTTCATGGTTAAGATACTTCGCCTGGAGTATTGCGTAACTTCATTGAATTGTAATGGCGTTAAAAGATGCAAGTTGTCTTATCCCGTATTTCCACGTCACCGCCGCTGCAGCGATGAAAACGGAAGTGTCAGATATCTGAATATTATCCTCAGCACCCAAAGATCCAGTACTAACACCCGACTAACCGAGATAACAATGAACTAACGGAAGCTCACACCTGAAGATAATTGATGCCGTTAGGTTAATTTATATCATTGTTGATTTTATTCGAGTAAAAATTAAAACTTTTGGATAGGGGGTTTGTACGAAGTGTTGGGTTGGTTTTGGGTTTAACACCCGACATTAATCAACTCAAAACCTTCACTACACTGCAAAATTCATAAAAAGGTTGGTCATGGTCAAAAAATGTGAATTTTTTATTGATCAGCAAGCTGAAAAACTGTTTCAAAATTTTAAAACAAACATGCACCAGAAACTTTAAACATGTGAAGGAGGAAAACTATTCTTAGACTCCCTAACTGCTTTTAAACTGGGGTCAGAACCGCGGCCGCACGAACTTCGAGAAAATCCTCGCATGCATTAATCCAATTTTACACACGAACTACTGCATAACCAAAAAACTGACGGAAAATTTAAATTATCTGGAATGACTACAACAAAATAACTCGACTAAGCTTAACTAAACGAACCCAACTGACGATACCAAAAAGGTAAGAGCCAAAACTGAACTCAACGGACAAAATCTAGCTCGCTCCGTCCTGAAAGAAAAAACGTGAACGCTTTTAATGAACCAAACCGAATCTAACCCAACATATTCTTAATTAAGGAACCGAATCTTCCTGTCTCCGTTATGGCTTGAAAGGTAAGCACACGTTTACCATCTGTGTAGCCGCTATTAATATATGACATCTATCCTGCTGGTTTTTATAAGTTACTTAGTACTTTAATGTTGAATGAGTACTAGAAATGGTGGCCTCCTGAAAGGGTACGGCGCTACAGGTTAAGGGAGGCCTACCCACGATGAACGCCAATTTCTTGAATATAGACGACCAAGAAAGCCGATCAGCTGCGCGGCGTACCCAAAGTGGAGATTTACGAGGTGACCTTATATTCCCTTTTATTATTAAATTGGCTGTAAAATAAACTAAGATTTTTGTCGCAGGTTTGACTACAAGAGTTGTTGTTGTTAAACGAACCCGCCATCTGTCCAACGACCCGGCGTTTCAAGGAAATTATCGGAATGACCGTCACGCCAATTGACGATTTCTGCAGTTGCGATGGGAGTAAGACACTTGAGAATCTCTCGCTCGGGAGTACATCCACCAACACCTCCAGCAGGAATCCCTGTGCAGGTTCATCGGAATCCATTTCATCAGTTCGTGTTCAAGTTTAAA